GAGCTCCAAAATATAGCCTATATTTTACTTTTATTACGTTCTTTTTGTGGACAAAAGTTTTTCTTACAATCCAAAGTCATTGTTATACATCTCTTCGGAAACCATAAAATATTTTGAGAAAATAAACTATATATACATAAACGAACAAAATTATATGTTAAGCTTTTTATCCTTAGTTTTCATTAAATAGCTTAAACTTGGAATTGTGGTAAAAAAACCTTTAATGATAGTTTATTCGATTAGTAATTACATAAAGATGAAAAATAAATCTTTTTTGAAGTATATTTTTATTAATTTAAGACGAGAAGACATTTTGATTAGCATACTATACGATTCAGTATAATTTGTAATTAAACTTTGTAGCATTAAACAAAACCCTTGAACTTAGTTTAATGAAAATATCACTGGAATAAATGTATGTATGTAAAGAAATTAGTGAATATCAGTCCTAAAAAATTTGGACAGTAATATTTTGCTGGTATTAATTAAATTGCTTGGAAAAAAATATCAGTTTACTAACCTTTGATTTTTCGTACTGGTCTTGTAAAGGTTGACGGGGTAAGTTAGTATTTTTGTTAAATATTACAAATTTACTGTTCGTTTTTTTGCTAAGGGTCACTAAATTTTATCCAACACCTACAAAATACTGTTTTCAAGTCATATGCAAATGTTTTCACACACATAAGATTTAATTAAAAATCCTTTAAAAAGCTAACAAAAATGCTTGAAACAAAATAAACGTATATTTTTTTATTGTGAAGGTAATCACGGCATAAAAGCTAAAATAATCTCGTATTTAAAAAAAAAGTTTTTATTTAAATGTACATACTGCGCCATTATTAATATCTGCCATACTTTATATTGTCTAATATAATGAACATCATGCATCATGGTAATGTAGTCAAACGCTTATCTACGGTACATAATGTTTTTAATTATGATAACGTTATTAAATTGCATAATAGTGCACCTGTTGCTCGAATTCGAGCAATTGCAAAGTATTACAGCCGTTATTCAAAGAAATATGACAGTGATAAATAATGTAATCAATCACTCCACTCGAAGTTATTGAAACTAAATACGAACTCACTCTGAAAACGAACGCTGTTGTGTGTATCATGCGTATACTATGAACAGCTGTAATTAATACAAATTTGTTGTCTTAAGTAAACTAAATCTTTTCTTCATGAGAAATACATTGTAATTTTGGTGGCCTGTGGAGCAAACCCCGATGACTTTTATTACAAGAATTTGTGAAAGGGGGCGTCTACACAAAAAAAAACTTAATTTTGACAAATCGTTTGTAAAAATCTATCCATTATTAACGGAGGAGTAGTGTTTCGTAGAAATCGACTTCACGTATTATATATAAGGATTTGTTTTATGATGGTCAGTTCATATTGTCTGTAAGGTTGTGCAAAAAGCACTAATCGTACTATAATTCATATAAAAAATAAACAAAAATGCTTTACTTTATTACATTTTTGCCTGTTGTTTACATCTTTTGCCAAAGCAGTTTTAACGAGTTTAGTACTACTGATATGTATCCAGGAATTTAGATTGAACCTAAACAAAAAATGTTTATGATGTATAAAATTAAAAATAAATCACCACCATAGTAATTTCTTCTCGTTTTTTATCAATATCTCGATTGGTAAAGTTGTCAATAAGTAATCTTTTTTATTTAAGGCTAATTTTAAAGCAACTTTGTTAAGATTTTCTAGCACACGTTTTGGGGTAAAAATGAAAAGCATTTTAGTAAAAAATTATTAAATCCCAGACTATCGTTCAACCTTAATTCAATGATTACTCCTTCACTTAAATGGGGTTAAGGATCTTTTTAGATGGTGTTTTCCATTAGCATCTTTTTAAACGATATTTATTATACAAGGCACAAATAATTTACATATCTAACAAATGGAAAATATACATAGATGCAATGCTAAAAATTAAATCCATAAAAAAATTGTTATATCAGAGGGTTTTTGGTAATTTGTCTTACTTTTAAATATTTAAATTAAACTGTGTTGGTTGCACGCATGGATAAGGCCATCCAGGATCTGAAGGTCCGCATAGACATAAGAACAATACTGGAAGAAGAATACCATTTATTTTTAACGGAAGACAATGTGACATTTTAAAATGCCAACCCACAGCCAGCTTCAGTTTGGATTGAAGTTCTGTTATATTGATTTGTCTCAGAGGAAAATTGTTAAAGACCCTTTTTCAACTTGTGTAGCTCTTGTAAAAATATTAAATGCCATGTAACCTTTACAGTCCTTGTTTCCGGCTCTTAGTTAACATGTTTTAATATACTTTTAACAATTTGAATCTCTTATAATCTTGAAACCTTGAAACAGTTTTTTAGTAATATTTGTTACTTTTATGAACTTTCCAGACAACATTTAAATCGGATTAAAAAGAGGAAAATTTATCTTATTTCATAATTTTTATTTTTATTTAGCAAAAAGAGCCCTTTGTTTTATGCATTTGAGGCAAAATAAAGTAAAAAAAAACTCCTGGTTAAGCCATCAATAAGCTTAAAAGTTGCTTTTACTTTATATTCCCTTATATAAGAAATAAGAAGGGTTCCGTTCATATCAATTCAAAGAAACCATGGGCTACTTACTCATCGTCACAAACGTAATCAATCCCTTTGGAATTCAATGTTTTCTGGTTTATTCCCCTGAAATATACGGAGAATGTGTAATGTACGTCCGTCCAACCTTTTCTCCATAACCATCTACTGTCGTCCAAAGTGGTATTGTGGAAGTCTCTTGGTATGCACTCAAAAGACTATTTTCCGCTTCGATATTGACCGAAAGCTTTGCACATGATCTTTCAAAGTTCCAATGTGAGGGTTTTAAAAGTATATATTTACATCGAACACATAACAAACGTGTCCTCTCTATTATTATTATATGTTTACATGGCAACAATGAGGGAATTCACAATTTTTACATTTGCGTTTATTAGCCGGTAAATTCACTTTATTTCATGATTCCACACAGCTGATTAGAACAAATTGGAAAAATGATGGCTTGTGCAACGAGGTGAACGTTATAAAATATTATATTCAAAAGAACACAAAAATATTGACACAGATGAAAATGTGTTGTTTAACCAATCATCCACAACAATGCTTTAAAAACAGGTGTATTTGTGAAAATTAAATATGCTTTTTGTGTCTGTGGCGATGCGAATATAACAGGATGATGCTGGGGAACTGGACCGTTTAGCCTGGGACTGCCACATATGATGGTTAGAATAAACCAGGTGTGGTTCATACGTACATTGTTTGTGCAGTATTTAATATGTGTGAGACACGTTTGATATTTAAGTGAAATAAAACGAGACCTACTATTTACAAAAACGTGATGTGCAAAATAAAAAATCTTACAAAAACATAGATGCATTCAATTAAAGTAGTGGATATATCATCAATCAAATATTTGTTTAATAACAGCTCTTTAAACCCACCGGTATAATAACAACTAACAGCAGCTACGATTTCAAGGGGAGACGATTATTTGATTCAATCACTGCTACTGTAAACACAAGTGTTTAAATTAAGAGGGTTTTTCATCATTGAAAATATGAACACTCGTTTTATTTAATATTGGTTATTGAGTTTATAAAATTTAGAATTGTTTTAAATTATTATAGCCATTCTGTGGCCTTTGTCAGGTATTTAAAACGATTAAAATAAAAATCTTATTTAACTTATCCTAAAATTATGAATTAATGTGTAAGTAATCGGTGAACAGTACTTTATTTTGCATGAACTGTGCATGCATGTTTATGAACTTTGTTTAAACGGAAAACTTTCATCAACTTTCTCCTTTTTTAACAAACTAAGAACATGCATTTTTTTTACTAATATTTGCATACATGATTTCATGTCTGACCTTGGGATAGAGATATCTAAGTAATATTTTACCCAAACCTTTCTTGAATTATTAAAAGTCTTGTTACTCATCTTAAGGTTTGTTACAGTATGTGTTTTACTATACTAGTTGCCAAGATAGCAAAAGTGCACAAACATGTCACCCTTATGAAGATAGATTATTCTCCGTTGCTTTTACATAGATAAAATTAAATTTCACTGTATTCTCAGTTATATTTAGTCAGTTGGAAGCTACACAGTCTTAAAATCCATTTTAGCAATGTCGTAGATTGGCGTCCTGGTTCTTATTACTAAATGTATTAGTACAGTTTATTCTTATTTTGTTCCGGTTCATCCCTTGCTTTGCTACGCTCCCTCAATGAGGAATATTCATATTTATGGATACCATTGAAGAGGATGATAACGCACGTTGAGGTGTCTCATTGCCCCAAGTTACAGTTTCCTTATAAAGGATGAAAAGGCAAAGGTAAGTCCAAGGTGGCCAACAACCTCTTTATAAAACAAGTTAATCGGTCGGAAAAAATGTTGTTCTTGTTCTCCCATCTAACCTAAGTAGGCATACACAGGGTTTTCTATTAAATAATTGATGTAATGAAGAACTAGTTTCTTGAAAAACAAGCACCAGTTATAACACAATTCTATTGAGCAAACAAGTTTTGATATTATTTATACATTCTATTTATTTTAATTTTTTTAATACTCTTAAACAGATATTATAAATATTCCTACTAAACAGCATCTGTAAAAATGCATTTGACATAAATAAATAATTTAAAACTATCTTACTTATATATGCAAAGAGTACAGCATACTTTGCAAACTACTTTCCGCAAAAGATTTTATTTTTGTTATTTATCACGCCATTTCAACCTCAGGAACGCTCAGTGTTTTCGCAGTCGGTGTAAAACCGCAAGTTACACTAAACCGTGTTGATCTCGGTTGTTTGTCTGGGGGTGGTGAGGACTCCCGAACATTTCCGAACGAGCTCGAGTAAGCCCGAGGATTGCCGAAAACAGCCGAAATCTGACAACTGTTGAATATGTCAACTCAAACAAGGATCCCTCAGTATTCCGCGGCTAGCTGTCACCGCAGGACATAAAGTTCTCCTTCGGGACCCCAGGACATCGTTCCCGAGAACCCCCTTACAATATCATCTCTAAGGACTCGCAGTTTTGCTCTTAGACTTCACGATGATGATGCGAAGGCTGATGTTTTACGAAAGTGTTAACGTTGTGTGATTGCCTTCAACTTCTCGGTGCCAGGATGTCCCTTCAACTTTGGACAACTCTGCTTGCTCTAAACTTCTTACAAAAAGGTAAATAGTTTGATAATAACTTAAATTTGTGCTTTGTCGGCATATTTATTAAATGGTTCGGTTTCACTGTTACGTAGTAGTGATAATTTATTTCATCACGTTCAATAATTAACGTGAAAAGCTTTTAGAATAACCATCAAAACATTGAGATTAAAGTTTTAACTTAAGAGAATATCTGAGAGACTTAAAAGATAAAGAGTAGTTCTTAAGATTATAGACGAAAACCTTATAATCTGAATTAGAGAAAATCTGTCTACAGACTAAAAGGTTAAATTTAGACGACATCAGTAAAAAATTAGAGATATAGTTTTACAAATTATTTCAGCCGTTATAGTGAAATGCAATTTTATGACAAAAGATTTTTTTACTTACAACATACTGTCTGTTTTTATGTTATGAGTAGGCATAATCAAATAATACCATACCTAAATAATATCAAATGTATATAAGGTAGGTTATTATAAGAAAGTTGATTATTGTCAACTATATTTAAAAAAGTAAAGTTTTTAAACTGTGTGTAATATTTAAGAACGCGTATTCATTAAAACTAGTTAATTTATAAGTTTGACTATAACTTCTATCTCTGACTATTTTATTCTGTATCCACTACTTGTATTAAACCTTTGACATGAATATTTGTTTGGGGTTTGTTTTTTAACTATCAATTATCAATAAATACTTTTGAAAAATAATGTTATTGTAAAACGAAAGGACAAGTATAAAAGACAATTAATAGGCTACAAAAGATGTATTTAACAAAATTGGACAATGATATTAACAAATCATAAATATTATTAAAAACATATGTTATGTCAATTAATTAGAAAACTAAAGGCAGGCATAAACTATTACAGTCATAATTTAAAATGAGGAGGGTATATGTATGTATAAGTAGGCCATACGTCTGGAATCGAATTGATCTTTCTAAGAATAAATCATTGATCAAATGGCATGATGCTGTAACAAGATTATATGGGTAATTATTGTAAACCGGAAAACACGTGGCTGGTTACGTCACTAATTTCCATCTCGTGATCTTTTTGATTCGTGTCGGTTTATCAATTATATTTGAAGGGATACGTTGTTCCTTTAAAAATATGTTTAAATAGTAAGATAATTTAAGGTACATTAGCATAATATTCCTTTACCATAGTAAGATCTAACGTTCTACCAATCATAACTTCTTTCCTATGAGATACATTTTCAAAAAGTTGCTTCAAGATTTTTTTACATCAAATTTTGCTCCTAAGATTGTTTCCTTTGTTACTCAAACAATTTTAACGATTTGGGCACTTTTTGAACCACGTTAAGTGTTGTTAAAAAATATTTAAGTTTAATTGTATCATTGGTACAATTATATGATGCCAATTTATAATTATTATTTTACACAACTAAATACCTAATATACTTCTGAATTGCTAACTGCATTCTTTTGGTTTAGCATCAAAACCCAGTGTAAAAAAGTGAACGGTACTTTAAGGCAGCTTTATTGTCATTAAAAAATAAATCAACATGCGTAGTATTGAGCAGGACTAAAACTCATTATAACATTTTATGTTTATTTTAAAATATCTTCTTTCAGTGTAAGTTAGTAAAACTTTATTGGGGAGAGAGAATGTGGGACTTTGGTCCCCGAGGTCCTGGGTTCAAATCCCGCCAAATCCCCAATGGATTGTATAAGGATTTTCAAGATTTTATCCAAGTGATAATCCCGTAATGCATGGGTCTAGCCTGAAGTAATGTAAAAACAGCCCCAGGCATTTGCCTAATGAAAACCTTGAATTTGCTACATACAAAGCTATGCTTACATTTAGGATGTTCCTCTATAATAGCGGGCACCCAAAATTGCAAATTTATGAAATCTTTCAACGGCTGCAATTTTTTACTCAAGTGTCCATTTGAGTTTAGGTTTTCAGCGTTTTGAGTCAGGGTTTATATCAGTAACAAATCCCTCTAATTTAATGTGCATATCTACATAACCTGCTCACCTTGAAGATCTTCTTCTGACTCTAACTATCGTTCTAAGGAGGCAGCGTATCACCGAATAATGCTTACAAATAAAAATTATTGTTATGCCCAGTGGCTTTATTCCATGTTTTGTAGCTCTATCCTAGTTATTTATTGAAATATTAAGCTATCCCGGGAAGAATTTTTTTCAAACCTTAGTAACTCCGTAACTATTTAGCCTACTTTTACAAGTCGTAGAAGAGGACTATTCTTAATTTGAATTATTCAACATAAATCAATTTTGTATATAATGAATTTTGAGCTCATTGCATGGCTTAAAAATAAATAAACAAATAAACTACAACTTTTTCAACTTAAACCCCTCTTTCTCCAAACCTGACTCTCAAAGTGGGTGTAACCTTTTCCCAAACAATACGGGGACTGTATTAAATATTTTGAAGTGCAAAAGTTAGCTTTCACATTGGATGTTAAACATTGGAACATGGAACATGGAACATTGGACCTTAACTTCGACATCCAATGTGAAAGCTAACTTTTGCACTTCAAAATATTTAATATAGTATTAATATAGTAGTAATTATTAATTTAATTAACAAATTAGTACGTTGCAGTACTTATTTGTGAATTAAATTTGTAAAAGCAATTTAAAATCAAAGCTACTTAAATTTGTTCTGATTTTCAGTTATCGTAACGAAAACATCTCTCTTCATCATCTCTTGAAACGTTACTTAGCTACGTTACCTTAACTAAGTCAAACTCTCCTAACTAATATAACATTGTTTGGCAGTAAAGTTGGTGTAAGCAAGCCACAAAGCTCCAACTTGATCGATAGCTTGGTGAGCAGAATTTTAAGTTTATACAAACTACAATAAAAGCTTTGCTTACATCCGTTTGATGAAACGTAAAGCGGTTTCTTAAGATCAATCAATACAGCTCTGAGTAATTTAAACCTATCAATCACAGATAGAAACCACACAGCAATATTAACATAATGTTTTATGTTTCAGAGTATAATTTTCATTATCATCAGCAAATAAATAATGTATTCTAATATGAGTATTTTATCAGAAGAACATAACATGACAATTTTAATTCTAAATCAGACGCAATTCTTTATTATAGACACAAAATTTGCAATAGAATAATTATAATAATTTATTTTGCCAGGAATGAAACCCACCATTCTTGTGTTCTAAGAGGTAGGACATCAAACTACCCGAATAAAATTTTTTATAATTAACGCCTCATTATACATACATACATACATAGTCGATTGCAATAATATCTGTTAAATAATAAAACATCTAACTCAACAACCAAGGAGCATTGATTTAAAATCATAATTATTAAGAAACATTTATTCTGATTCAGTTTGTAGAATCAATCATTCTATTACCTAGTCAATGCATTTTGCTATTTTATTCTGTGTATTTACGTAAACAATGAACACAACGATTTTAATTTCTCACCCAATGTTAATTTAATAATTACATTCAAAAAAAGCTCTTAATTCTCTCTTCTTAATTCGTTGTCTGGATATTATCATATACTTCGTACGGATACAAATTTGTACACATCCATCCAATTGTACATCCAATTGTACACACCGATCTTTAAGAACTAAACACTTTTACAATCATGTGTAAAAAAATGTTTGTATTTATAAAAGTGCGGTCACGCAAATCAAACAACACCCTGTAGTTAATGAACCACATTCAAAAGGTTTACAGCTGGAAACATTTCATGATTAAGCTAGAGTGAGATTTTTATGTAAATGAATCCGATGCTATAATCAAACCTGGTTTTAATTAAAACTGATTACAATTTTTATTAAATTTTGGGTTTTATTTGCTGTAAAATTATTCTGTTTCCATTATTAAGGATAAATTGTAACATACCGTTTATAATTAATTTATAGAAACTATGAGATGATTTTACAAATCTTAATGAATACATTGATTGGAAATATAGTAGTACTTCCTTGTAAAGTATTGTTTATAGTTTTACAATTTTTAATTCAATGCTAACTTGGGGTTCTTTGCGCAAAAATGTTTATATAAAATGCCAGGCGAACGTTAATAAATACCAATTTTGTATCTATGATGCCCACTTTAAGCAACTCAAATCTGTAAGTGTTATTTTAAATCGCATACCTAACATATAATTGCAAAATTATTGAAACAATATAGATAGTAACAGGTGTCAAGGTTCAACATGCATAGACAAAATATGCAAGTTTAGTTTCACTCTTGTACTTTTATAAACCTTTTGGAACGGTTTTGTAGTCATTACAAACTGAGGTCTTTAAATTGGGTATTAGGACCAAAACAATGTAAATGTTTATTTAAGGGCTCTTAGCTATCATCTTTAGTTGTTTCTGTATCGGCCTGTAAAGAATTGTGTCATGAGTAAATGGTGCCATTAGAATAATATCCAAATTACAATGTCAATATTTGAAAAGCTGATAGAGTCTGTTGATAATTTCTCTTAAGACAAGACTATATATCATATTTTCTGTTTATGGTCCAGAAAACAAAATGACAACACGAACAAAATGATAATTGTTTTAATGAAACAATCAACTCCGTGTATTCCGTTGAATTTTCAGTAGGGAAATTTCTTGGAATAAACTCCAGGTAATTAGAGTCTTATGTTTTGCCAATAAGCTCCAAACATGTTTTACTGTTTCCCATAATGTAAACGCCTTTTATAGCCGCACTTAAAGATAACCCCTGAACCAAACAGATGCTAGACTGTAATTGCTTTCTTCCTTCATAACGATAAGCAAACTAAAATAGTTGTTAAGTATATTTTTGTGTCAAAAGTTATTAAAATATTAGTATCAAAAATGTATAAATTGTTCTCTAGTAGTTTGGAAAAACATAATACTTGACTTTCTTAAGGTTTACACTTATTACATAATTATTAGCTTTATGAAGTTACATGTAAAAATATGTGAAGACGCGTTTTTCGCTAAAATTGGAAGACATTTAGGACTGCTTAAACATAAACTATTTATGTGGGAGATATTT